AACCCTGTTTAAGGAGTTTAGACTGTAAGTCTTCGGATGAGGATTATAATGGGTCTGCACTGTGACCTCCTATTCATGCAGATGACCATGTAGAGCCTGAAGTGGACTTTCGAGGCAATTGGTTCCCAGACAATCCCTACACGTTGCCTACAAGTTCCCTGCATTGGCCCCTAAACCCCAAAACCCAAAAAAAAACAAAAACCCCTAAATCCTAAACCGCTGGAGTGGACAGCCGTGACGCCTGATCTTCCAGGCGCTCAAGGTAGCGCTGTCTCCCTTCTGGTGGCAGTTTGGAGAAGACATTCACCTGGGGTCATGCCCTAAACCCGAAACCCTAATCCCCTAATCCCTAAACCCTAAACCCCTAAACCCTAAACATTTCCAAAAAACAGCTGAGACTCAGCGCTGGATTGCCCTAAATTCCGCAGAGCACAAGTCCCTATGCTGGGGTTCCTTTTACACTACAAACCCCTATTAACATGTCCCCCCTTTCTCTTGAACAGTGATTTAGACCAAGTCCTAGGTAAACTCTATATGTTGCTGGCTGAAGGCAAGTTTAGGGTTTGGGGGGTCTAGGGGTTTAGTGTTTGGGGCTTAGAGGTCGTGGCGCGCAAGCAACACATGTCCTAAGATTGTGCTGCCCGTCGAGGGGGCACATCTTCCTCTTGTGGCATTGACTTCCAAGATGACACGGCCTTTGATTGGAAAGAAGGAAAACCTCTGCATCATGTATTGAGGCTGGGGGTTGATAGTAATATGGGGAATATATAGGGGCTCTACAAGGATTCTATTGTTGGTTATGGGGTTCTTCGGGGTACATAACCCCACTAATAGAGGATCACCTGGAAAATGCGAATGAACAAAAAAAATGATCGGAATCTGTCGGTGCCTGGGGCTGTTCCAGCAAGATGCCACTTGCGCGAAACAAGTTTCTACGAAAGGTTGACCCATCATCATCCCTTGCAACTACACAAGAAATCTCTCCTGTTGGTCAAATTAGAGTTTAATGGGCCATATCACGCTGTGTTTGTTAGGGGGTTCTCGCAAGGGAGCTGCTAGGGAACCTGTGACACGTCTATTGGAATCTGAATTTCTGACACGCATCCTTGTCGATGCTGGTCTCCAGAAGGCTTCGCCGCTCTTCGTTAGACATGTTGTTCCTGAGCTGATTTTGACTAATCATCATCTCTCTGCCCCTCAACGAGCAGCGCAACAGCCAAAAAATTGCTCTTGCGAAGGACTCCAGAGTCGTCTTGCCTAAGGACTAGACGACCGTAAACTGAACAAATTACCAACAGAATCTCAGGTTCAACTGAGCTTTGGCCCCGTGCTTCATCATCTGGTGCTTCCTTTGCAGAGGTGTCGGGGAGGATTGATCGTTTCCGGGATTTCAGGATTGGTGGGTGTATGGAACCTCTCATGTAAGAAAACGCGCAAACGGGGGCAGGAGCACAAAAAACTGCTTCTTCTTCAAAACACCGCAGAAATCTCTCCCAAGCTGTTGTTGGCAGGCCTGCTGTAAGTAGCTCCTAGCCTCTTGTAATATTGGGTGCAGCTACCGAGTTCTTCACGAGCAGAGATTTCCTCAGGGTCCAACTCCGTGATCTAGATGCGCATGCAAAAGAACATCTTATCAGCAACAAACATCCTACAACATTCCGTTATCGCTACATGACCATGGCAAACACCATCAAGCGTCATCTAATTTAAGCGTCTACGTTCGTCCGGCGCGAATTTATGACAGCCAAGCCGCACGACGGCATCAACATGCAGCTCACCACCACTCTGCCAGTAATCATAAAGCATCTTGAACATGATTTCGCCTGAGCAGTCAGTTAGTCCACTTGGAAATCAGAGCCCCGATAGCTATCAACCTTGAAACGAAATCCATGGACTCCTTGTGAACTGGGACTTTGCTCCCAGCCCGGCATCTCAGTCACACCGACAAACTCACTTGAGGGATTGTCCAAAGTAAGGCGTGCCTCTTGGTGGGTCCACATAGTACCGATTCTGTATGTGGGGGTCTATACTGGGAACTGGGAACCCTATTCATGGAAACTTCCATGTCTGCAACAGGAAAAGGGAGGCCGCCAAGCCTCACAAACCTAGCAACTCGCGAATGGAAGTTTACGAAATCAAGCAAGCCTAGCAAAGACCTGTCTCGCCAGGAGAATGACAAGTAGAAGGAGACGCAACAGCCTCGTACGTGCAAGAGCTCTGCTGAAGTGTGCTGAAGTACAAACGTGGCCATTTGCTTGCCATCTGACTGCACTATCTTCTGGTTCAATCGGACGGCTGATCTTAATAACTAAACACATCAGTTCAAGAATCTAAGTTTCAAACCAGGGGCAAAAAAAAACGCATCTCTGTCAAAATGCGTCAGTCATGACAGCATTTACGAAAAGTACCCCGATTTCGAATAACCGCCAACTCAACTCCCCCAACGTCTCGCGGTTTTTCTTACGGGTTTCAAGAAAGGGGACGGGGAAAACATTCTCGTTGTCGCCCCCATATAACTTGCAATAGTACAGTAGTTTCCATAGTTTCCAGGTTCTTCTCCGTTCCTTCAGTCCCTACCAGCAACCAGTAAGTTTTCTGCCAAACTGTTCTGAATTCAGCGCCAGCAAGTAATAAGCAGGGAGCTGCACTAGGAGGTGCAGATACAAACGGAAGATGCCTCTTCAAACCTCAGATTCGTAAGGGCCGCATACTAGCTAGCTAGCATCACACTTCACCGTGATCGAACACCTTAACCCCCCGCCCACCACCAACATCGACAGTGCACAAAATGACCACGGCTCATCCCAAAAATTATGAGACCCTTATGAGTAGCTATCGCGAAACGGCACCAAGTAGTATTTGAAGTACCAAATGGAAACCCTAAACCCTAAACCACATAAGCAACTACCCACACGCCTAACCAATCTCCTGGCAAGTGGCTGGAATGGCCTCGCCACCGCGCGTAGGCTTTGGCCACCTCTTTGTCGCTGGCGAATTCCTCCGGCTGCAATCCAATCAAATGGAAACTACTATACTGGGTTATGTTAGGGTTTGGGGTTTAGGGTTTGGGGTTTAGGGTTTAGGGATTATGTAAGGTTATGTTGGGGTTATATAGGGATAATGGAAAAGAAAATGGAAGCAGGGGGAAGTTCTGAATGACCCATGTCTCTCTCAACAGGGGTATGATCTGGGGCTGCAGCGCCCCCCTTCCCCCACTTCCCAATGGTTAGGTGTTAACATGCGGTCCCGCAATTGCCAGCATTCTGGGCATACACTGTCACACTGCAACCAACACCATAAGGTCATTCAGAACTTCCCCTTGCTGTCTATGTGGTGGGGTTGTATTCTCCTCCTTCCTCCGTCCCCGTGGCACTGCCCGTGGTTCTTCCTCCCTCAACTGCCAGCATTCCCGTAAACGATTGTCATCCTGCAGCATCACGACCTGCGTTTTGCCGGTGTCATTGAAATGTTTTTGCCTCCCCCGCTCAGGGTCTAGCTTTACCCCCCCCCTCCCAATTTTGGGTATGGCGCAACTGCTAAAGAATGCACGATCCAACCGGCGCCGATATCATGCAACGGACTGCTGCACTTGGTGACAGGATTTGGGCAATCGCAACAACCAAGAGCAGGATCCTTCTAGAATCATACGACACGTACCTTACTGAGGGTTAGTAGGCAATAATTAAGGGGATGCATTATATAGGGATTAGATTCCCTTATTCCCTACCTACCCAAGTAAACTACAGGTAGAAGAACCCTCCTTTTAGCACGGCTTCTAACAGGCAAGTGTCAAGGGAACCCTAAACCCTGAAGCTTAGTTTTGACTCAGCCATGAATGCCAACCTGCCACATCCTCATAGGGAGAGAGCACTACAGTCTCATGCCTACTACTTTCCCGTGGGTTAGGGTTTTAAGGATTTTTGTGGTAGTTTCCATAAATTAAGGGTCCCTTTTTGAAGGCTCCCTAGAACAAGGATTACAATATTTGGGGCTTTACATTGGGACACCGCATTTAATGACTTATGGGCAGAACCTTTACAATCCCAAAAATTATGGTTCCGTTTCATTTACCATTTTCTTTTCCACTTGATTCCCTATCATTGTCTTCCCTTCAGCACAAAAATCTAAATCCAACCAAAAAAAACTCCCGGTTGTTCGGGTAATATCCCTAATCCCCTGTTTAATCCCTATGTGATCCCACACAACCCCTCTATCATGCCTAGATAACATCCCAGAAACCCCTAAACCCTACACCCTAAACCCTGAACCCTAAACCCCAGACCCGAACCCCTAAACCCTAAACCCTAGACCCGAACCCCTAAACCCTAAACTCTGAAGCCTAAACCCTAAACCCTAGACCCAAACCCCTAAACCCTAAACCAGTAAGGCCTCCCCCGGCGGAGGCCAGTGCCATCTCACGCTACCGCTTCGAGAGCTGCATTCTGCAGATCGAGCCTAACCAAGCCTGACTTCTATCTCTCTCGATGGAGCAATAGTAAAATTGGGTTCCCTTATCTCCCGGCGCACGACCCTGGCAGGGGAGTGCCGCCCGCTGGCGGCCCCACCAACCAGGGTCGTCCTTCCCACCAGCGGGCTGGGTCGTCCGCCGGCTACGCCACCCGGATCGTCCATGGCCAGGATCGTCCAGGCTGTGCTTGTCTTGCGGGTCAGTGCTGACAGACGACCGCCGGGTCGCCTGCCAGGCCCTGTCAGGGTCGTCCGCCAGGCCGTGACGGGTCCGTGTTTTCAGGGTCGCCAACTTCCGTCACAGCCCCACCAGGGTCGTTGGCTGTGCCCAGAGAGATGGAGGTGCCCCGAGATTCCATCAGCGTTCCGGGCGATGCCCCGCCAGAGTCGCCCGTCCGCTAGCCCGGGCCACTTCCAGCTTCTATCCTAGTGTTAGTGTTGGGAACGTCTTGTTGCGCCACCTTCTCTTGAGCGAGTGGAGGGGCGAGTGCTTCGTCAAGGTGGACAGGGTCATCCGCCGTGCTTGTCCGCCTGTTGCCCAGCTTCTCTTCTGGGTAGGGTGACCTGGGCCACAGGTCCCGGATCGTCCGTGCCCTGCCGCCGTGCTTGTCCGCCTGTTGCCCAGCTTCTCTTACGGGCCAGTGCCCGGCCACAGCACGGCGGACGACCCTGGCGGGGTGACCTGGGCCACGGCAGGGCGACTGCCCAACAAACCGCAAAAGCCCTCCCAAACACAGCCGATGAGCTGCCGGAGCCTGGCGGACGCCTGGTCCACCTCGGCACGTTTCGTCGTCCATCTCTGTGAAGGCCAATCGGAGCTCCCCAAAACAGCACCAGAGCCGGTACCTTTCGTCGTCCTTTTTTATGAAGGACCAATGAGTCCACAGCTGTTTCCCACCACAGCCGGTGCGTTTCGTCGTCCTTCTTTTTGAAGGACCAATCAAACGTGCTCTCTGCAATCGCAGTGCCAGTAGAGTAGAGCTTTGCCTGCCCAGCCCAGCTTCTCTGCCCCAAGGCTCATCCGCCGTGCTGCCCGCCAGGATCGCCCGCCAGGCTGCTGCACCAGCCCGCTACTGCACCGCTAGGGTCGTCCGCTGCATCGTTCCGGGACAGTGCCCCGCCAGTTGCCCGTTTGGGTCAGCCAACCAGGACAACCCGCGAGTAACAGGCAGTAAAGCTTTGCCCGGGTCCGCCATGCTTTGCCAGTGTGCCCAACCCAGAAGAGGCCAGTGGCCAGGGTTGCCCCATCGCTAGCCCTGGCCCGGGGTCATCCCGCAAGGGTCGTCCGCCGTGCTTGTCCAGCTTGCCCGGTACGTTTCGTCGTCCTTCTCTGTGAAGGTGAATCGGAGCTCCCCAAAACAGCACCAGAACCAGTACCTTTCGTCGTCCTTCTTGGTGAAGAACCAATCAGACGAAGATCTTGAGTCCCCCCAAAACCCCCACAGCTGTTCTCCACCAGAGCCGGTGAGTTTCGTCGTCCTTCTTTTTGAAGGACCAATCAAACGTGCTCTCTGCGATCGCAGTGCCAGTAAAGCTTACTGTCGCGCCGCCAGCCCGGGCGCGCCAGGGTCGTGCGCCGTGCTTGTCCAGCTCCCCTACAGCTCTCCCGGTACGTTTCGTCGTCCTTCTCTATGAAGGGCCAGTCAGAGCTCCAAAGCAGCCAAACGCACGCCCACAGCCCCCACGGCTCGCCCGCCAGGCTTCGCCAGCCCTGCCCCGCCAGGGTCGTCCGCCGCGCAAGGGCCCCGCAAGAGTTGCCCACCAACCACAGCAATGAAGCTGAACACAGCTATTTGAAGAGTCTATATGTTTCCCCCCTGACAGGTCCCTCTCCGCCATCTGCCTCAGCAGAGTCGTCTGTCCACGTTGGGCCCTGCAGAGGAAGCCGCCCCGCAGGGGTCGCCAGCTGCAGGTCTTTGAGGTATTGTTCTAATCTTCGTCGTCGGCCTCCTCCATGAAGCTTCTATATTACGTATAGCCCACGAATCGCGTTTCCGTCCCCTGTCCCTGCTCCTGTTCTGGCCACCCACCAAAGCGCCACGAGGGTGTCCCACCCAACCACAACACGCCGTCGCCGTGCCTCTGTGGGAAGGAGCACGAGGCACAAAACCCGTGAAAGGTTTTGCTCTGGGTGGCTGCGGGTGGGTTCCACGACACGAGGACGGCTCGACCCACGACCACTTCATGGCTGGGTTGAGCCGTGGCACTACACCCTGAACCCTAAACCCTGGACCCAAACCGCTAAACCCTAAACCCTGAACCCTAAACCCTAGACCCAAACCTCTAAACTCTAAACCCTCAACCCTAAACTCTAAGCCCACCCGACTCAGCCTGTGAGGCGCCGAACTCGGCAAAGCAAGAATGGCCATACCTAGCAGGTGTAGGTTTCCCAAAATTAAGTACCGCAATATAGACCCCCAAATACTATAGTCCTTACTATAAGGACCTCCAAAAGGGTACCCCTAATTTTGGGCAACCCCCCTTACAAGGCCGGGTGTAGGGGTTTGAGTTTCAAGGTTTAAGGTTTAGAGTTTGGGCTTAATACCCTGAACCCTAAACCCTAGTTAAGGGTTCTGGGTTAAGGGTTGCGGGCTTCAGGGGATTTGGGCCCTCAGCTTCCTGCAAGATCATGCGTAGAGGAAGTCTCAAGCTGAATTGGCTGTGAATATCGGCAGCATTTTCTAAGGGGAAGTAACTGTTCAGAATCTTTTGCAGCGTGCTAACCATGACACGCAAGAACTCGAAATCCGAATGAAGCCGACCTGAACCCTGCATCATGCAGCCTCCTTTGCACATGGAAGTAATGCAGAAGCTAGCATGAAACCTGCGAGCAGTTCGCAACCTGAAAGCACCTGCATTCAGCACGGTCCCTGCTTCTAAGGTCAATGCTTGCGGCTACATTCCAAGCTGCCAGAAGCACAGCCTCTGTCTGTACCAACAGCTGATCAGATTACTTGGCTTTGGTTAGCTAGGAATGAAGGAAAGGTTCCTTATATATAATAGTGCCTATATAACCCATTATAGTAGTTTCCATTTTCTTTTTCATTCCTTCATTCCCAGCCAACCAAAGGCCAGGTTAAGGGCGAGCATTTTGAGCCAGGACCTTTCTGGCATAGACGGTGCAGAATTTTAACATTGTCGACGAGGGCACGCAACCTCGAAGCCCAACAGCTCCATGACTTCATCATGGACCTCGTTTGCAACCTCCGGCTTGAGGCGGGGTAGGGAGAGAGGGAACGTACAGAGGGGAGTGGAGGCAGGTGTGGAGCACCTGAGGCAAGCTGTGGGAATTACGATTCACACGGGGATGCCGCAGTGGGAGGCAAATCAAATCCTTCCATCCCAAGACCTTAAACACTGAACACCTTGCAAATTCATAAGTCCATCCAAGCGGGCTCCTTGCAATGTGCTATGAGAATGATACAGTAGATTGTTGGAATATACGCCAATGCTTAGGTAAAAATACAATGGAGTACATTGTAGTAGGAATATCAGTCAATGTTGAGTTTTCCCATAGTTGCCGCATGGGCATCTCGTCAAAACGGGACCCTGTGCTCCCAACCAAACCATCCTCAATTTTGATAACAAGAACCCGATTCATTCCCATCATTCGGTAAAATGCCAAATGCGAAATCTATGGAACGCCAACGCCCTGAATCGAGAACGCCTAACCCGGAGACCTTGTGTAAAAAAAGCACCCTTCCTTGCCTAGTTATGGTATAAGGTAGCTCAAAAAAAACAACATAATACTTGTAATTCTTGAATAGTTTCCCGAAATAGGGGGACCCCCAATATAGACCCCAATAATCTACATACATCCTAAACTCTCTATATCCCGACATACCCCAACATTCATTCTGGGAAACCCTACCCTAGAAAGCCTAATACTCATACTAATATTGATATTGATACTAATACTAACATTAATGAAAATAAAAAATGCTAATACTACTACTAATACTACTACTAGTACCTAAACCCTAAACCCTAAACCCCAAACCCTAAACCCTAAACCCATTATTTAGGCCCCTACCGTGACACGAAGAAGCCAGGAGACAGTCTCAGGCAAGGCCCCGGTCTCTGTTATCTTCCGCCGGAGCTTCTCCTGCACCTGCTGAATCCCCTGTAACTCCTAAAAAGGGGTTACATAAGGATATGTAAGGGAATGGAAAAAGGAAACGGAAACTCCTGTGCTATTTAAGGCAAAGTCTTTTTTTGGCGTCTCTAAGGCAAACTTTAGGGTTTGGGGTTCAAAGCTAACATAAACACTCTCACCCGCCTGATAATACATTTTCCTCTAATCTCCAAAGTGCATGGGGGCGGCGGGGCGTGACTAGGCCGAGTTGATTATTGTCAGGGTGGGGTCTAGTATTGCCCTAAACCCTGAACCCTGAAGCATAAACTGATTCCAGGTCCAGGGTTTGGGCTTGGGAGATCTTTGGTCCTGAAAGAGCCCCTACTCCGCTAGCATGCGTCATGGTTAGCTGCTCGTGCATGCTTTGGCACGGGGCCATGCTCCCTTTATCTGATTTCAAGTATTACCCCTCCCCCACGCGCGTAAAAAAAAAAAAGGGTCTGCAAGAGGCCCCCTCATAGATTATGTCGGGTGACATATTTACTATTAGCGTTAGGGGGTGCTTAAATCTAGTATGAAGGACTTACTCCCCTCCCCTAATCCCCCTAATCTTACATGTGCCCAATAGACTACAATATACCACAAAAGAGAATATTTAAAACTAGGGGGGTGCGGCGGTTTAATATTGGTATGAAGGGGTTAATTTGTCGGCAGCCAGTCGCTTTCTCATCCTCTCACACTTGCCTCCGGCAGGTCCATCTTCACATTGCAGGCTTCCAAGAACTCCAGAACGACATCCCTGGGCAAGGCTTGAGTAGATGTTGCGGATGGGGCTAAGGGAGTTTGGGGTTGAGAGGCTTAGGGGTTTAGAGTTTCACGCTAAGGGGTTTTGGGTTCAGGGAAGCCCTTCCCAAGGATCCGAGGACTTCATGGGTTGGCATCAAGTTCGTAGACTGTGTAGATCACACTCCCGCTTTCTCAGACGCATGCTTCTTTGGGGTCTGCGGTTTAAGGCTGAGGGTTTAGGGCTAACATATTGGGGCTTTCCATTCTTGATTTGTTGATGTATGCCCACTGCGGACTGCGGACACGTGATCATGATTCTGTAGCAGTGCGGACGAAAGCGCACAGATGCGAATGCGAACCTCAGAACCCGCTTTCTTTGATAAATAGAAGGTAAACCTTTCGTAGGGTTTAGCCAATGTCCAAACACACAGTCCTTAAAAAAGGTTAGGTATCAGCAGCCCACATCAATCAATTCCTGGAAGTGGCAACCATCACTGTGGTCAACTTCTTCTTCATTCCCTCATTACAATCATACAAACCTCCTAACCAAGAACCTAAACCCTACCAGTGGTACATCCAAAGGTCCGGGACATCTTCCCCTCCTTCTGAAGGACGCGTGGCCGCCTGTCTTGCAGGCACTTCAGGTATGCGGCGTCCATCGCTGCTGCAAAGGCCTGGTTCAGGGATGCCAGGAAATTTGTACCTTGGTATATACGAACATTAAAACACCCATTTATGTATATGTAAACATATAGGGTCTCTTCAGGGTGGACCGCTATAGGGCCAGGGCAATGAAAGCTGAACCACAAAAGCCCCACATATCGCCAGCTCTATGCATCGGGAACCTAAACTCGTAGCCCTTTTTGGGAAGTCTATGCAGAATCAAACTGGGAGACGTGGCCAGTCTGCCGAAGAGCCTGAAAGACATAGGAGCTTCCCAAGATAAGGGGTACCCTTTTGGGGGGTCCCTAGAATACGGACAAGAGTATTTTGGGGGTCCCTGTAACTATAGTATTTTTGGGGGCCCTATAATAGGGGCTATAGCATTTTGTGGTCCATCTTGGGGTCCCCCTATTTAGGAAAGCTACCACGTTGCCTTTCGATCCTACATGTGACTATGCTGAAAACGTCGGTGCTACCGCACTGTCGCTACCAGTGTCACAACAGGCTCCTCAAATGGATCTCAAAATCATATTGGTAATTATTTAGGCCCCTATATACCATATGATAATATAGTAGTTTTCATTTTCTTTGCCATTATCCCAATATAACCCCAATATAACCCTGTATACTCCCTAAACCTTAAACCCTAAACCCTAAACCCCAAACCCTAAACCCTAAACCCTAAACCCTAAAATAACCCCTCTATAACCCTACTGAGCTACTGCTCCTTCGGCGAAAGGCCTTGGCAGGTTTGTTTGATGGAGAGTTCACAGCACAGGACCCATACGTCGGTGATTTTGAATGATTAGGGTTTAGGGTTTTGGGTTTTGGGTTTTGGGTTTAGGGCTTAGGGTTTAGGGTTTAGGGGTTTAGGGTTTAGGTCCTCACCCTGGACAAATCAAAAGCTGATGTCCTTCTGAACCTTCGAAGGCCTCTTGAGAGTTTTGAGAGGTACACCAGGTGTGGCAGCCGTGATTCCCTGGTGACGCCTCCCTCTTCCACAGATTTCGGGCTTGCTAGTACATACATATGGGGGCTTTGCCAAAATTACGGTAAGTGTGCTTTTTGGGACGTCCCTATGATATGGGTGATATCATAATATCCCGGTGTCTGTTTTGTCTTTTCTTGGAAACTACCCCATGCGACATTGCTTAAACGGGGCTCCCGTGGGATCCGTAGAGGGGTCTATATTTTTGGAGGACACCCCACCCTGCAATAACCATATAACAGGTATGAATGTAATCCATACTATCCCTTATAGTCACCATTACAAGGTGGGGGGTCCACCTAACCTATATGTGTGGTCATGGACACAAACCCATCTTATGGTAACTGTTACGGCGATAAGTAAGAGGAGTTCTGATAGGCCCTTAATAAAACCCCTTTAAGGACAGTTGCTGTAAGGGGGGAATGACCCCCCCCCTGGATGTTGAGCTTCCAGCTGTACATCACCTCAATTACCAAATTTCAGATTTGGATCCCCTAAACCCTTAACCCCTAAATCCTAGAACCTAACAATCGCTTGGCGCATCAGGGTAGCATGGCATGCGGCTCTGTCCTCAGACACATGACTACGAGAGCCACAAGGAGACACGCTTTAGCCGGAATCAACCTTGAAGCAAATAAGTTCTGCGTCGTCCTTTGAAGGCCCCTGAAATCATGTATGAACAGGTCCCCATGTACAGCAAGATGGGATATGAAACCAATAATTATCCAAAAGTACCACTTATGTTGGATCGAACTAGGCCCCTGCCTGCTTCAGCCCGGGCAGAGACGCATCAGCTTGCGCGCTGGCAGCCTCTTATGGCAGTCTCCATAAATAGGAAACCATGTAAATCCAAATTTGCCATAACAGGTATCCTCCCAAACAGACGTCTAATTCCTTAGAAATCCAAAACCACACAAAAATTATATACATATATATATATACATACATACATACATATACATGTAAATGTGTGTGTTTTCATGCATAAACATACATGAGTCATGTGAGCCTCATTTTCGGTTCGCCAATGCCCCCGAGCCCCCGCCCCAATGCTATCCCCCCCGCTCTTGGCATCCTTAAAGAGAACCAACGGTCACAGAAATCGTGCTCATCGATATTCCCAACCTCGTAACTGTTGTCGTCTCTGATGTTGCACACCTAAAAGATGCCAACAATCAGAGGAATGCCGGGCATGTTGGTCACAATTCTCATACAGTAACCCTACACCCTCAACCCTAAACCCTAAACCCTTTCATGTAAGAGATCGCAACAGTGCCAGCTGTAACGGGGGTGGTGCACGTCCCCACCACCCACGCCGCCACAGGCGGTGAGAGAAAACTGCAGCAGCAATGCAGGCTCCCCCTCAAGTAGATAGAATCTGGGGTGTGGGATCTTATTATGATATAGATCAATTCCGTGTTCTGGATGCAGGCTTTCCAAGTCTACTATTCCGAAAAAAAGCTGCCCACCATCACGCCCCTGCCGGGATCATATATCCCAATACACCTCCTTTGACTAACAACAACCCGCAAGGCAAGCCCTATACCTCCATCAAACCTTATATGAGCTATAGTCTAAACTCCTTAAAGGGGGGTACATAGGGGATTATATAGGGGACTACTATAGTGGTGATTAAGGGGGATACTAGCAGTTTAGACTAGTGCTCATATAGTCCCCCTTAAGTAGATAAAATATGGGACATATGGGAAATTATAGTCAGCCCAAAGCCATATTCTATGTACTTAAGGGGGACTATATATGTCCCTTGATATTCTCATGCAACCCCCTTCAAGATGACCCCAGAGACATCCAGAGACCAGGCTGTAGAAACCCCAAACCAAATCCTATAGAACTTTCCATTTTCCTATGCATTCCCTCTGAACAACCTATGTATCCGCATGTGCCCCTATATCACCACATGCCTCCCCGTGTATCCCCATGCATCTTTTTGTAACCCTACATACGCCCCAACCCTCAATCCTAAACCCCATGCAACCTTGCGTCTCTCTCCTACATACCCTATTATACCCTTATAGAACTCCTCCTTATACTCTACATATTTGCTTTAAATCCCCTTCCACAACCCCCATACAGAATCCCATTTAAGGGACTCTACACAACCCCCGAGAAACCCCTTTAAAGGGACGCTAGAATACCCCACATACCCCCCTAACCTTTGAAAGGGATCTTCACGGACCCTACATACGCCCTAGAACCCCTTTAAAGGGACCGTAGAATCCCTAGCCCTACATATCCGAACCCCTTTGAAGGGACCCTAGAATCCCTAACCGTACATACCCTAGAACCCTTTCAAGGAACCCTAGAATCCCTACATAGACCCTACATACCCCTCTAGCCCCTTTAACGGGACCCTCTCCACATACCCTACATAAGCTATAGTTTAAACTCCCAGTATACCCCTGAATAAGCCATATAAGACTGCCCTATATAATCCCGTATTTACTCCCCTTTAAGGAGTGTAGACCCTCAACCCTAAACCCTATAATATATACTCCCCTATCTACTCCCCTGTAAGGAGTTTAGACTATAGCTCACATAATCCTTATATATAACCCCTATATAACCCGTATATAATTCC